GACTCAATTAAGAAAGACCCCCAAAACACACTGTGTGTGCGTGAGGGGATTTCCCACGTTCTCCCGTGTGCACAGAAGAGATGCACTGACATAACCGGGGGTGGGACTGAGGGCCTCGGGCTGGGCGGTGCTGGCCACACCTGGGAAGCTGTGGTCACTCAGTTAATTGTATAAAAAGCAGATAGTGCTTTCTTGGGGAGAGCTAACTTCACACCAAGGACAACGTTGCCTTTGGTGGGGACGCCTGCCAACTTGTTAACTTACTGACTCTCCAAGGATGCAGCTTCTGCTCTGGGTAATTATAGGCCTGCTAGGTCGGTAAGAGAACTTTTTGGGCAACAGCTGGGAACTGGGGGCTTATTTCTCTCCTCCTTCCTCCCTTTTCGGTTTGTTCATTTTGTTGGCCACCTCTTGGTAATAAATATTGTTTTTTGTTAATCTTTTAACGGTGTCTTGGTTTCAAGTTTCAGTATGGTTTTGAACCCTCCCTAATACAATCAGGAACAGCGTGGCCAGCAGGTCCAAGGAAGTGATTCTTCCCCTGGACTCAGCGCTGGTGTGGCCACACCTCGAGTGCTGTGTCCAGTTCTGGGCCCTCAGTTCAGGAAGGGCATTGAGGTCCTGGAGCAGGTCCAGAGGAGAGCAACTAGGCTGGTGAAGGGACTCAAGCACAAGTCCTATGAGGAGAGGCTGAGGGAGCTGGGGTTGTTCAGCCTGGAGAAGAGGAGGCTCAGGGGAGACCTCCTCACTCTCTACAACTCCCTGACAGGAGGTTGTAGCCAGGTGGGGGTTGGTCTCTTTTCCCAGGTAACCATCAGCAAGACAAGAGGGCATGGTCTCAAGTTGTGCCAGGGGAGGTTTAGGTTAGATATTAGAAAGAATTTCTTTACAGAGAGGGTGGTCAGACATTGGAATGGGCTGCCCAGGGAAGTAGTGCATTCCCAGTCCCTGGAGATTTTTAAAAAGAGACTGGATGTGGCATCAGTGCCATGGTCTAGTAACTGCAGCGGTGTTGGATCAAGGGTTGGACTTGATGATCTCGGAGGTCCCTTCCAACCCAGCTGATTCTATGATTCTATGATTCTATAAGGAACTCGTGTTCACAGAAGCAGCAAAGCAGGCAAAGTGTTACAGAATCCCAGAATGAAAGAATGTGCGAGTTGGAAGGGACCCCAGAGGGATCATCAAGTCCAACCCTCAGCCCTGCCCAGGCCCATCCCCAAGAGTCACAGCCTGTGCCCCAGAGGATCATCCAAACTCTCCTGGAGCTCTGTCAGCCTTGGTGCTGTGCCCACTGCCCTGGGGAGCCTGTTCAGTGCCAACCACCCTGGGGGGAAGAACCTCTTTCAAACATCCAACCTGACCCTGCCCTGACACAACTCCAGGCCATTCCCTGGGGGCTGTCCCTGGTCCCCCCAGAACAGAGCTCAGGGCCTGCCCCTCCTCTGCCCCTCCTGAGGAAGTTGGAACTGCCATGAGGTCTCCCCTCAGTCTCCTCTTGTGCAGCTGAACACCCCAAGTGCCCTGAGCTGCTCCTCCTAAGGCTTCCCCTGCAGAGCCTTCTCCATCCTGGTGGCCTCCTTTGGACACTCTCTACTGGCTCCATCTCTTCCTTCCATTGTGTCCCCCCCGAGTGCCCCACTATTGAGGTGAGGCCGCCCCAGGGCAGAGCAGAGCGGGACAATCCCCTCCCTGGCCTGGCCGGCCATGCTGGGCCTGATGCCCCCAGGACAGGGTTGTCCCTCCTGGCTGCCAGGGCACTGCTGACTCCTGGCCAAGTGGGCACCCCCCAGGACCCGCATGGCCCTTTGCGGGCACTGCCCACAGAGCACTGGCTCCCGGAGTGGCCAGCTGGGGACAGCTGCGTGCCACAGGAGCCCTGGCAGCCCTGGAGGAGCCCGAGATGTGGCAGGGCCTGAAGCAAAGCTTCCCCCGTGCTGGGGGGTGTCAGCAGCAAGGAGGTGCCGCTGTGCCGCTGTCCGGGCTGCGGGGGGGGGATCCCCACACGGTTCCGGCGGGCAAAAGGTGCCCCAGAGCAGCCGAAAGGGCCCCCCCTGAGCGGCTGTGCTGGAAGGGGCTGCTCGGGCCGGTTGCAGCCGGTTGTGGGCAGGGGCGTTTCCATGGAAGTGCCAGGGCTGTGTGATGTGGGGCCTGCGGGTGCCCAGGGGCCACTGTGACCCTGCGGGGCCTCCTGGAACCGAGGGCACCTTGTGAACCTTTGGGCCCCGCCCTGGCCTGGGGTGTTTGAGGAGCCCCCCGGGTGGCCAGTCCAGCTGAGGGCCGGGGCAGGAGGAGAGGCCGCTGGTGGGCCGGCGCCGGGCTCCCCAGCACTGGGCCGAGGCAGCCGCCTCCAGCCCAGGCCTCCTCCTGCCGCCGCCCTCAGCTGCAGCAGCGGCAGCCTCAGGGCAGCCGGGCCGGGCCTGGTCCCTGGGCGGGGCCGGGCCGTGCTGGCCCCGCAGCCCCCGGAGCTGCAGGAGCCCCGGGAGCCGTGGCAGCCCGGCCCCGGGGGCACAGGGCTGAGGGCCGCAGCGGGGCAGGGCCTGTGCTGGGGGTCCCTGGCAGCCGGGCAGCCCGGCCAGCAGCGCCGCAGCCCGCGGCCAGCGCCGGCGGGGCAGGAGCTGCCGGGGCTGCGGCGGCTGGCGGGGCTGGAGCCCCAGCGGCACGCCAAGGAGCCGGCAGTGCCGAGCACGGAGGGACACGGGCAGGGCCCGGGCCCGGGAGGCTCCCTCTGCGCCGCAGCGCTACAGCCCCGGCATCTGCCCAGCCCTGGGCCAGCAGCCGCTGCTGGCGGGGCCCGGCAGGCCTTGGCTGGGGGGAGCCGGGCGGCCTCTGCGCGTCCCGCGCTGGGGAGGGGACAGGAGAGGCAGCACAGTCAGGGCAGGGCTGCCTTGAGTCAATCCTCTGCTGCTTTACAATCTACTCCAAATTGTTTTGATTTCTTTGGGGGAACTTTGTTCAACTCAGCTCTGTGCTGCTCGGTAAGAGCACTTTCCTTGACCGGGCAGGAATTCTCGCCCTCCCCATTGCTCTCAGCCTGAACCCTGGACAGCTCTGAGGTCCCAAAGGGCTCCCTGTGCCCCAGGGCAGACTCAGGAGAGCTGCTCTGCCCACAAGTGACCTGCTGCTCAGCACACAGGTTCCCTGTGCTATTTGCACCTCTCTGGTGGATGATCCACTTCAAAGATGCCTGGAAAAAAAGTGTGTTTTTGTGAAGACTCCACCTGCAATATCAATCCCTCTCAACTCTATTTCCCTCTTTCCCTGTGCAGCTGAGCAGAGGGTGATGCAGAGGAGTGCTCAGGCTCTGCTGCCTGGAGCTGTCCCTGCCAGCAGCTGCTTCCCTGGGCCCAGGGCTGGGCCCTGGCAGTGCATCCAGAGCCCATCCCAGCCCTGGGTGCTCAACTCTGCCCTGCAGAGCCCTCCCAGCACAGGGCACTCTGGTGCCCAGGGGCACCTCTGGCTGGGCAGGCTCTGATGGCAACAGCAGAGCAACCCTGAGGAGGCTGGAAAAGCACCACTGCTGCTGCCTGTGAGGCCCAGGGGGCTGATTTCTGACACTCCCTGCACCATTGCCCTCGAAGAAGAACAGCTTTGGATTTTCCATGCTTCCTCCTGAATGGAGACATGAATTGATCTTTCCCATTGCCCGTCCCTGGGAACCCGAAGCAGAACACTAGGAGTACAGGATCCTTCCCTTTCAGGATGCCCCTGCCTTGCTGCATTTCTTGAAAATTGCTCTTAGAAATCTCCAGCAATGCCCTCAGCCCTGCTGGGCTGTGCAGAGGAGCTGCTCCTGGGCAGAGCTGTCTCTCTGCAGCGCTGCCCGCTTGCCAGGAGCTCCCTGTGTGCCAGGAGCCCGGCCCAGCTCAGCAGCACAGACACAGCCCCAGGCATTGAATGACCCTCGGGGGTTGGGGATGAGTCCCTGAACATCAGACAGAGAGCAAGTTAAAGAAACCTCTGAAGAATTCCAAGTCAGATCCAAGTCCACAGTTTCTCCTGGCGTTAATGGGTCCCACTGAGGGCCAGCACTCAGAAATTGTCCCCTGCTTCCAGTCAGAGCCGAAAACTGGAGGCAGTGATGACAGGTGGGGACAAGCAAAGTCCCGGGGTCTGTGATGCTGAATAAATCTGGCTTTGTTTTGTTCTTGCAAAGGGCCAAGGCCTGACCCCCAGCCCTGGGAAGGGAGATCCTGTGCCTGCCTCATTCCTCAGGGCTCTTGCTGGGGCTCTGGGATGTGGGGATGTGCAATGGCAAGGGCAGGAGCATGGGGCAGCACCTGTGTCTCAGTTGAATGAGACTGAAGTGTTTTGCTGAGGGGGATGAGTTATGAGGAAAACCAAACTCCTCCCTGTAAGCAACTGTAAATTGGAAATGAAGAGACTCCAATTGAGGAAGTATGGAGAAAGGAAAAATAACAGCTCTTTATTAAAGGATATCTGTGTATTGGCAGAACAACAAAAAGGGGAAAAAGTGGAAAAGGGGAAGAAGGGGCTCTTCCCACGAAACTCCCGCTGTCTGTGGCTGGCTGTGGCCAGGAATTCCCCCTTTTGGCCGATGAACACACGCCACTGCCAACACGGGAGCGCAGGAGGGAAAGGGCGACCTCCTCCCCAAAAGGTTCCTTTGGAGGGGGGTCAAACCTCTCCCGTGAAGTCCGAGCAGGTCCGGGCTGGGGGCAGAACAGGGCGCAGGAAACGAAGGCAAACGGGAACCAGCAAACAGCCAAATGAGCAGGCCGAGAACAAAAGGTTTTCCCTTTTTTTTGGTTTGGGTCTGCCTGGCAACTGGAGCGTCATCAGAGAGACGCTCTGGGATTGACTGAGGGGCGTGAGCTGGGTGGCCCCAGAGGGGTGGAGACGCGGGGGGGCACTGGGAGAGACTGAGATGGACTGGAATGGACTGGGAAGAACTGGGAGGGGGCAAAAGGCCACAGGACGGGCACAGAGGGCTGAAGGGTGTGAGGTTATTCCCAGGGAGGGTTTGAGGGGCTCCAGGGTCATTCCTGGGGCAGGGGCCGAGGGGACCCGCTCTGCCCCACGCTCACCTTCCTCTCCACCCTGGACGGGGTGAACACCTTGCAGTTGTGCCGGCAGCACGTGTCCACCAGAGACCATGCAAACTCCAGCCGTTCCTGGTCACTGTTCCATTTCCTGGCAAACTTCTCCCCATACGAGGTGTCCCCCACATGGATCCCCACATCGCTGTCAAAATGCACGAACTGCTCCCGGTTGTACATGTACCTCTCCAAGAACCTCACCCGCTCGGTGCCGTTGATGAAGCGACACTCGGACTTTACCATCCTCTGGAACACCCCTGTGTGTGCAGGACACGGGTCAAGGGGTGGCCCGTCCCCCCCATCATCCCCCAGCCCCCCACAGCACGTTGGGAGCTCAGGGGAAAACCGCAGACCCCCCTTTCCCAACCCCCTCTGCCCCACGGATGCCCCAGCACTGGCTCTTGGCTGGGGGGAACCCCCCATCAGCCCCCCGGGGATGGACAGGGGGATTGGGGACCCCCAATGCGGATCCGACCCCCCCAGAGCCCCAGAGAACCGCTCCAGGGCTCGAGGGACACCCAGGGACCCCCATGGCACCCCTCTACCTGCTCTCCCACACCCCCTTGCCCCCCTCTCCCACCCCTTTCCAACGTCCCCACAATCCCCAGACCCCCCACCCTCACTTTGGGGCTCCCACCACCCTCCCACTCACTCTGGGCCTTCTGACCCCACTCCCACTCACTTTTGGGGCTCCCACACACTCTTTTCTCCCCTCTTTCCCCTCCTTTCCCACCCCACCCCCCTGCCCGCCACCCCTGCTCACCCGACAGCTCCTCGCCCGCAGCCGGGGGGGCTCCCAGCACCACCAGCACCGCCAGCACGGCCCCAGCTCCCCGCACACGCTCCATGCCCAGCGCCGGACAGCTGCTGACAGCCCCAAACCAGCCGGGCGGCGCCGTTTTGGGGGGTTTGGGGCGCGCTGGGCTTGGCTGAGGGCGCAGTTGGGGCCCTTTTTTCGAGGCGTCTTCCCGGCGACTGATGAGTCATCAGCGCGGCGCGCTGGGATTGGGCGCGGGCGGCGTGGGCGCTTTGGGATTGGCTGAGGGCCGTTGGGGGCCCCCGCGGCAGCCCCGGGGCTGGGGGGTTCGGGGGGGTCCGTGGGCTGCGGGGGAGGGGGGAGCTCAGGGCCCACCAAAAATGCCCAGCCAGGGCTCCCACAGATCAGGGGAACCTCAAACAGAGGATAAAGATGTCCCGGAGCTCAGAGTTGCCCCAAACAAGAGGGAGATGGGGGGCTGAGGATGCCCAATCCCCCTTTTCCCAGCATTTTTGGTTGCACTGGGTCTTAGTTAAACAAGATTACAACTTAGAAATTAAGAGACTTCAGGTGGAAGTGTGGAAAAGGAAAAGAAACAGCTTTTTATTAACAAAATCTGAATAAACAACAAATGGTGCAACCAAAAACTTTCAGAAGAAACAAAACAAAGTCCCAAATCCCCAGGTGGGGGGGAGAAACTGTCCCGGCAGTTCAAAGCTCTCGCAGCCCCGTGTGCTCGCAGCCAGCAGTGAAGGAGTCCCTTTTCCCAGGGGCAGTCCCCAAAGCAGAACACCTCGCTCCCAGATGGGTCGGGCTCTCTCTCTCTCTCTCTCTCTCTCTCGGTCGCTCTCCACGAGGTGTCCCATGGGGAAAAAACTTCCTCTCAGGAAAAGAGAAGAAGGTGGCCAAAACCAGCTCCCGCTCTGTCCGGTCCCGGACAAACCCCAAAAGCCCCCGAACAAAGGACCCCCCGCCCTCCCCGCGGCCACCGCGGTGTCCCCGAGAGCCGCCCTCCCCCCACTGCCCCTGCCCAGCGCCTGCGGCTCCGCTCCAACCCACCCCATCCCGGGAGACACAGATGGGAATGGGGGGTACACTGGGAAACAATTCCAACACCTCTTTTCAAACCTCTGACACCTGGTTCCCAGACATTCCCAAAGAAGGGGCTTCCCATGGCCTCGAACCAGGGACCGACCTTTGTATTGAACCAACTCCTGGAGAGACACGTTCCCATCCCTGTCCCCATTCCCATTCCTGGGGTTCCCATCCCTGTCCCCATTCCAATTCCTGGGGTTCCCATCCCTGTCCCCATTCCCATTCCTGGGGTTCCCATCCCTGTCCCCATTCCAATTCCTGGGGTTCCCATCCCTGTCCCCATTCCCATCCCTGTCCCCATTCCCATTCCTGGTTCCCACAGAGGAACTGCCAGATGCCAGAGGAGGGAGCCAGGATTTATTGCCCAAAGCAGGAGATTTTCACACCCAAATTAAAACCTCAGGAATAATTGTGGTCCTGGGTTTCACACGGGAAAAAGCAGGAAGTTGATCCATCGGGAAGAGCCGCAGGGGGGCCGGGGTGGGTGGGAGCAGCGGGATGAGCTCTGCCAGCAGCTCCTGCCTTTCCGCAGGGAGAGGGAAGGGGCGGATCCAGCTCCAGGATCGCTCAGGCTGTGATTCCTGCCGGGATGAGAGCAGGGAAAGGAGTCACCATGTCCCTGTTCCCATCCCAGGGGATGGAGCCGGCTGTGGAGCCCAGGGAGAGTAGGAACGGTTCTGGAATCCCTCCTGATCCTGCTCCGTCCATCCCACCCCAATCCCACTCCATCCATCCCACCCCAATCCCACTCCAGAATCCAACCCTGATCCCTGTCCACAATTCCACCTGATCCCACTCTGGAATCCTGCCCTGAGCTGGAATCCCCTTCCAATCCCACTCCAGCCATTAGGCCCCCATTCCCCTCTGGAATCCCGGCATCCATCCTGGGATCCCTGCCCAGAGGATCTGGATCCACACACGCTGCTGGGACTCACTGGTGGGCGCGGGGTCGTATCCATTCCCCTCCCTCTTCCCTATGGAAAGAAAGCGGGATCAGCACCCATGGCACAGGATCCCCGGAATGCTGCCGGGCGGATCCGTGCCCCTTCCCGACCCCCATCCCGGGAGTTACCGGATCGGAGCTTCCAGACACCGACTCCCACGAGGCCGATGATGATGATGATGGCAGCGATGACGGACACAGTGTCCTAGTTAGAACAGCTGGGACCGATTCCTCACTGGATGGGTGTAGCCCAAAACTGTGGATTCTATGGCCTTCCATGCCATTTTCCCAGGGACTGTTGTCAGGAGAGGTCTGCCAGGTGGGGGGGATGTCCTGAGCACCCTCCTACCCTTTTATGGACTGAGCACCCTCATAGCCTTTTATGGAATTCCCCGCTCTGAGGGAAGAACTAAGCATCCTTTTATGGAATTGCCCGCTGTGAGGGGAGGACTGGGCATTCCTGCCTGAACTGGAGAATATATAAACCTGGAGTTTCGGAACCTTTTTACCACTCGTGGGATCCAGAGGAGGACTGCAGCTCACCGCTCTCAACCAGCCTGAGACCACCCCCCTCAACTGGACTGCAATCCCCACTTTTGACCAGACTGCAACAGCTCTCCCATCAGGAGGTTTTTTTCCCCTCTCCCTTTCCTTTGGACTTGGGGGGGGGCCAAGGAACAGCACTTTGTTGATGCCCCAGGGTGCTGGGTTCTACATTTGGGTTTTGTGGATTAAAACCAATTGCTTGTCTGTATAATCAGACTTATTGGGCAAGGGGGGCCCAAGGGGGGCCCAAGGGGGGCCCAAGGGGGCTGGGCCAGGGGGGGAAGGGCCGCAGGGGGCGGATCCCATGGGAGGAAACCCGCCAAAAGCGGCGGCCCAGCCGAGGGAGGAGCCGAGCGGGAGCACAAAGAAGAGCAGCCAAAAGGTCCTGGCGGTGGCTCGGCAATGGCGGGGGGGGCGAGAGCGGTTTGGGGGCCCCCCGTGAGAGCCGGGGGGGAACCCCGGTAGCCGCGGAGTGGGGAGAGCGGAGAGGGGCGATCCCGGAGCTGGGGGACCCCCGGAATGCTGGAGGGGGGGGGAGCAGAGAGGGAGCGCCGGGCCCCTTAAGCGGGGGTCCCGGAGAGGGGGAAGGCCTTGGAGTGTGGAGAGGAGGGGGGGCCTTGAGGCGGGGTGGGAGCCGAGAGCGCCAAGAGGTTTGCGAGGGTGGGAGGCGAGAGAGGAGGGCCGGCCGGCCCCGGGAGGCAGAGTGGGGAGAAGTGAGCCCTGGGACCCCCCTGGCAACACTCAAGGGGACCCCGGAGAGTGGTAACCCCCCGGAGCCGCAAGACCCCCGGCAGCCGGGAGAAGGGGGACCCCCAGTGCAGGCAGAAGTGCCATCAGGCCAGACAGGGGGGACCCCCCAAACCCCAGAGAGCAGAGAGGGGGAATTCTGGGAGGGGATTTTGGGCTGAATATTTGTGTTTTGGGGGTTTTTATGGGCACAAGTTGCCCGGTGAGTCCTAGAGCTGGACTTGGGCAGGAGGAACCCCCAAGGCAACGCGCTCACACCTTGTTTTCCCCCCCCCAGCAGGATTTATGCTTCCCAAAGCTTGGTCGGATGGAGGAGGAGGCTGCGAGGAAGAGGAAGATGCCGCGGGCCCCCCAGGCAGGTGAGGAGGAAGTCAGTGCCCCTTTGGGTCGGTCTTTTGTCTTTTGTGGCCGTCCTGCCGGGGCTGGAGTTGGGGGTTGTCCTTGGGCTTCCCTGTGGGCCGGAGGCAAATCCCCTGCGTGTTCTTGTTGCTTCCTGCCCCAGGCCCCGAGGTGAGGCCGGAGAGCGCGGAGGACAAATCCCGGCGGCAGAGCCTGGTGGGAGAGGCCGTTTTGAAGGGCTCCCCGGCGCAGGAAGGCAGCGGGGAGGAAAAGGGCCGGAGATGCCCCCGCAGGAGGGGCTGCAAAGCCAGCCCAGGGACCTGTGAAGAGGGAAGAGCCAGCGTGTGCCGGGAAGGCGGCCGGAGCTTGAGGCGGAGCTGCGAGCTGGTGGTCCCTGAGCAGCCTCCCAGCAGGGAAAAGCCCTTCAGGTGTTTGGATTGTGGGAAGAGCTTCAGCAAGAGAACCAACCTCCAGAGGCACCAGCACATCCACACTGGGGAACGGCCCTACACTTGTGGGGCGTGTGGAAAGAGCTTCAATCAGAGCTCCAACCTGCTCCAACACCAGATGATCCACAGTGGGGAAAGGCCCTACACGTGTGGGGAGTGTGGGAAGAGCTTCAGTGACCGCTTCACCCTCCGCAACCACCGTCACATCCACAGTGGGGAACAGCCCTACACGTGTGCGGAGTGTGGGAAGAGCTTCAGGAAGAGCTCCACCCTCCACAATCATCGACGCATCCACAGTGGGGAACGGCCCTACACGTGTGGGGAGTGTGGGAAGAGCTTCAGGCAGATCTCCCACCTGCTCCGACACCAGATGATCCACAGTGGGGAAAGGCCCTACACGTGTGCGGAGTGTGGGAAGAGCTTCAGGGACAGCTCCAGCCTTTGCAAACACTGTTGCATCCACACCAGAGAATGACCCTACAAGTGCTTGGAATGTGGGAAGAGCTTCAGCACAAGCACCAAGCTGCTCAGCCACCAGCACATCCACACTGGGGAACAGCCCTACACGTGTAGGGAACGTGGGACAGCTCCACCCTCTACACCCACCGTCGCCTCCACATCAGGGAGAGGCCCTTCCACTGTGGGGAGTGTGGGAAGAGCTTCAGGCAGAGCTCTTCCTTGACCTCCCACCCACGGACCCACCAGTAATGGAAGCCCCGAGTGCCCCGACTGCGGGAAGAGCTTCGGCCGCTGCTCCAACTCCATCCGCCATGGGAGGACCCGCGTTGGATGATCCACAGGGACCCCCGTTGGGCACAGACCTGGTGTGCTGGTTTAATGGTAAACCAGCAGGGGAAATGTCAGCGGTGACACCTGGAATGGGATGGAACACCTGGAAAGGGAATGAGAATGCCT